TCTTTATTATAAACGCTTTATCTTCCTGGAATCAAACAAGAAGCCCGCTATTTTGTTAGAGTTACCCTGTACAGACACAGTCATTCCTCGCCCACCCTCCTCCCTAAGCGGATTATAGACACTTGGGCATGTTTGTACTTGGGTTTTTAGACTGCTAGGTAAATAGCTTCCATGGTGGTGACTGGGCTTTATCACTAATTAACAGCCAAGTGACCCTGGAGCCATATCTGCTGTGAGCATGACTCAGGGGCTCTCCGAGCCTGCAGCTTACTGTAATCTTAATCTGAAATTAAGTGTGTGGAAGGGCCAAAGGTCACAAGTAAAGGGAGAGAGACAGAGAGACAGAGAGACAGAGAGAGAGTCAGAGAGACAGAGAGAGACAGAGACAGAGACAGAGACAGAGAGAGATGCCTCTCGATTAGAATGGCTTCTTGTTTAGACTTAAAACATTCTCCATGTTTAGTAGTCTTTGCTCCTTTATTATTTCTTTTTCCAGTCCTCCTGTTTTCAGTAACAGTTATGGAGTGGAAATTTCCCTAGCCACTTCCTCCTCGCGAGAGTCCCCATTCACCCAGCGATGCCCAGGGAATGTTGCAAAACACGAGGAGGCTACAGGCGCAAAGAAAATTCAAAGAATGAAGATGAGCAAATGAGGATGTTGATTCTTTCTGGGTGGCCCAGCACAGGAGTCTGTGGAGGAAAGGAGCTAGGTTGGGGTGTGCTATAAACTGTTTTGCAGAGTGCTGGGGTGGGGGGACTGCTGATCCCTGCTGCCTAGTGAATGAGTCACGGGCCCCAGGGCACGGCCTGCAGTAGGGAGGGGCAGAGTCTGGCCCACAGAGTTCTCCAGAAGCTCCCATAGGCAGATAAATCTGTTCCTGGCATTTTACCTGAGCATTTCAAAGAAGCGGCCTTCTCTAAACAGGGCAGTTAGAAACACAGAAGTCCCGGCCAGAGCCCGTCTGTGCATTGGTTAAGGTGGAGCTTCTGATTCTGATTGCAGACCATAAGGGCTGGTAAACCCCAAGGAGAAAGTGAAGATGATTGGGCAAAGGTAGCTGCAAACAGCGGCCCCTGGGATGTGGGGGAGAGTCACCAACCCACCAAGAACACCCTCACTCAGGCCATGCTAGGAGTAGGAAGATGGGCCGAAAGGCAGCAAAGATAGTGTGGGCTTTGGCTGGACTCATCTGACCAGTAGGGTGTTTGATTATTGAAATGAGCTTTCTGGAACGAGGACATCATCTAGTGTCGCAGCTGATAGAACTCTGAGGTGGTTTGTGTCTTAACAACAAGCTTACTAGAGCTTGGACAGGGAGGGCATTGGCCTCATATCACCCAGCCCCTGTGATTGTAGGCCAGAAGAAATAGCTGGTTCATCCCCACTGGGTTGGGAACAGGTGACCTGCTGAGTTGGTCCTGATCATGAGGTTGAAGGTGACCTTCCACCTGAGCCACAGATTGAACAAACAGATTATCCATAGGCAGAATGTTTTTGAGAGTGGAGCTCAATATTTTGAGGAGGAGCTGGTGGCCACACGTATGGAATCATTAATAAGCAGGGTGTTGGTGATGGGAGGGAATTGGCCGGGAAACAAGGGCGGAGGTTTGGTTTCAAAGGTGTTCATCTTCCTTGCATGAGAGCCAGAGTGTCCAGGAGTGTGTGTGTGTGTGTGTGTGTGTGTGTGTGTGTGTGTGTGTGGCAAGGTACCTGTTTAGATTTGGACAAAGAAAGTACAGAAAGATCTTTGGGGAAGATGGAATTGAAATTGAAAGACCAGACCTCCTCCCTCAAATCAAGCAGAGCTGCCAAGAACAAATACTACAGAAATCAAGTGAATGAAGAACTTTCTAGTTCAGGAATCAATGAAAACAATTACATAAAAATATTTAAAAAAAAAAACCAGCATTTGATAGTGGTTCTTTTTTGAGGTGGTGTTTGTGTGTTGGTTTTGATGCTGTAGATTGAACCTGGGATTCACACATACTAAGTGTGTGGTGGACCACTGAACTCTACCTCCAGCTCTGGTTCTTGCTCTTTAAATGTGATTATGGAAAACTTTTGTAACTCAGTTTATAAGATGTACTTGATTTCACCAATTCCGAGAATGAAGTTAATAGAAAATAGCAGAAATATAAGCAGAAATGAATAATGTGTTCTG